ATAAAATATTACTAGCTTTATTTCAAACCCTCTTCCAGGACCTTTTAAAATCTGTATGTCTCAAATTTAAATGTTATCTATCCTAATTATCATTTTATTAGTTCGTCATGATTATTGGGCCTAGATGTTCAAGGTATGTTTTTATCTTAACCGCTTTGTTAAGAAATTTGCCATGGTTTCATGGAAAATTCTGTTTAAACATATGGGTTTCAATTATTTAATCGTTATACATAATTCAAGCGTAAATTGTTTTTAGGAAGTTAGGATATAGCCATTTCACAGAATTCCGTACGTTAATTTCACATTGTCATGTGCGAACGGATAACTACGTAATTTTTTTTTACATTAATAGAAAAGTCAAACGTTTGTATGCCGCCGAATGATTTGCATTACAATATAAGTCAAATACATTTTTTTCTATTTCTTAACACCTGTATGTTTTTTTTTTCTTTTGCCTATAAATTGGAAAATTACTTAAAGCTACATTAAATAAATATGTAAAAATATTTTGCCGTCGGCCTAAAAATCAAACATTCTACAGTTTCATTAACCTGTTTAAAAGTCTTGTTATAAATCTCATCAAATATTGTTCATAAATTAGGATTTTAAACGGGAAACCCCACTGTAACACTAAAGTTCGTATACGAATTTTAACATGCAAATGAAGACTATAATGAGCTCGTGCATGCGCTACGTCACATTTTTATACATGCTATCCGGAACACAGCAAATGTGATATTTTCTTGTGGAAACACACTTTAACCGTTTAAGCTTCACGGTGCCTAAAATCTTGGGTTTAGTAAAAGTAAAAATCTCGTAAAAAGATTAAATTTGTATGAAAACATCCGTTACAAGGCGGAAATATACCGTTAAAATAGGACTGCAACTTATAGTCATGATTGTTGGTTTAATATTGATGTACGGATGATCCGAAGGCGGAGTTTCTCATGCAAACAGAAATTGTACTTCCCTTTTCGCCACAATGAGGTTACCTATTTTTATGCTGATAAAACACATGTTGGTTGTCTGGACACCAAAATAAGACCTGGAGTCGATATAAATCCCAATTTATTAATGAAACGTCGCTATTTAGTTTTTTATGAAATTTATCAAATGTAACTTTAAAGACACATTATGCTTTTAAAAGGAATATTGTTTTACCCCTTTAGAAACTACATACATAAATTTGATAGGGTTCGAATTATGTTTTAAGAGTTTGTTATAATTAAAATAAAAGTCAAGAAGAAACTACAATCAAAATAGATGTACTGATGGTCTGGTTATGAGTAACTGTATTTTATACACCCCAATAAGAAAGTTAGATGGTTTTTATATTAACTTAAAAAAGACTTAAAAAGGACTGCAGAGAATGTGATAACTATTGTGAAATTGGCATTAATACGGTTCTCTTACAGTTACAGTTTCGATAATAACGCAACAGGTTGACTAATGTACTGTGACGGATTGTGCACCATGAAACTATAACGGTAAGTTTGGTACAGGTCTACGGAATACCTGGGAAAAAGTCACATGTACCGAGTTCCGGAGAACATCTATTGTTCCAGTGACTTTAAACAAATCGTTCGATAACATTGAATTAAAAAGAAGTTTTTGACGATTATACTGTCGGCGGCACGTGATATAATTACTTACTTCTACTCTGAGAAATAGTCAAGTGAAATCAAAACTGTTGCAGAATGAGAACTAATCGACCCCTTAAATCAAACAATGATTATGAAATCTACATAAATATGAATCTTACAGAATATGAACGTTTATTATATAGCCAGTTTAGAAGCGGTATATTGGCACTTTCAATAGAAACTGGCCGCTAAATACCGGTAGGAGAAATGGTTGAATAGAGGCTATAATGATTTTGACCCTCAAACAACGACTAAGACGAAAAGCATTTCGTCTTATAGTGCACCATATAGATAAAATATATTTCTGAACATAGTTTTCTCTCACAAGACTTTGTTTACCTTGCATACGATTGTAAAAACATTTAATCTGTGAACTTCCTAGAATATTGCTCAAATTTGTTGTAATTGCTTATCTCCACAGACGTTCTTTTATGTTCTGCATTTGAAGCAAATACTATTCACTTATGAAAGACGAACTAAATTTTATACGATATGATTAGAATGTAATGTAATCCAGATGATTTATTTATGTCTTGACTGTAAATTGCCATATGCACTATTTACAATTACTGTGAGAGTTTTATTAACTATAGTTGAAGATACCGTTATCGTTATTTATTCAAGCATATCAAAATACGTGTACCCCTTTGTAATATTAGACAGAAATAACACCTATCCTTCATTCAATTTATTCCATTTAATTTTTGTTATTAGCAAAGTGTAGTATTTTTTTTTAACAGAACATATCTTTATTAACTCAAGTTACATACAATATAACACATGAGTATACATAACAGTAGTGAATATTTGTTAATTTAACATATGACATGGTTTTATTCAATAAATTTCTACACAGTTCAAAAATGTTTTTAAGATATTTCTAAGAGGAAAATTAATTATTATCATTATCATGGGAGAATGAGAGATGAAAAAAGAAAAGAAAAACACAAACAAACAGCTACCAGCTACATGAAATGTGTGTAATAATTAGCGGAATCATTTTACATGAACAACTAGAATCTTTAAAATGAAGACCCTTTTTCTTTCTTTCCCTTTTTTCGATGTCGTGTCTTAAAGATTTTGATATTAATGATTCGGGGACAGCTCAAATGCGATAATATACCACAAAAGAATTGCGAAACATACCCCTTAAACTATAATCAAGAATCATAAATCTTATTTACTAATCGCTCTTCTTAAGTTAGATATATAAAAATGACTTAAATGGTATTTGAAAACAATCTATATTATATATGTAAATACATAATGACGGCATTATATAATGATTTCTGCTGACTTATAGGCCCATTGGACCGGGCGTTATGTTTCTTTTTTCTTGTAGATATGTATTGTAACAGAGATGCATATGTCACGAAGATAAGATATTTACTTACTTATTTACTTACTAATAAATATACAAATTATTTTATAAATAAATGTATTATTACATAAATATATACGGGGTATTGAAAGAGTGTAGGTTCAATACTAAATTGACAAGTTAAAGCGAGCCTCTGTCGAGTATAAAATCATTATTTCAAATAGTTAAAAATATTTAGTAATGAAGCTACACGATTATATATTTCTTTTAAAACACACAGAAAAAAGAAAAGTTCTTTCATTTTTACTCTTGAGGTATATAGGCTTGACATTTAGGCGCGTCTTTACTATGTCTGTATAAAGTAAAGTTAAAAATCAGTAAACTAATTTTAACGTATTTTCATTTATCATGAAGAAATGAAGTCAATTATTGTTATTGATCATACATTATTAAAGGGAAGTAATGCACAAATATTTGTTATGTAAAGTTACATAAGTTATTCCCCTTCATTTGTTTCAATCACTTTTCATTAAAATTTTAGATTTCTTTTTGTGGATTGTAATTGATAGGCATTACCGAATTTCTTAAGTATGAAAGATGTATTGAAGCTAAATAACATAAAGTATGATAAAGATAGACAAATTCTTTGGTATTATCGAGAATGTATTTGAAATGCCTTTTTTAAGTATTTTTCTTGTCTCATTAAAACATTTCTCACATTTTCATAAAACAAAGATATTTTAGTTTTTATATCATGATATGTTCATTGTTGTAAAATCCATACAATATATGATCATGTAAATATATGTATCATGTTACATAGCCACTGTATCAGCCTCTTAAATACCAAGTAGTGTACAATAGTCGCTCGTAGTGAATAAACGTATAAAACACACACTGTTGCTTTCTGGGTTCTCGCCCCCCAGGGACATATAGAAGATATTACAATGTCATGTGTCATTTATGCATTATATTATGGGTTCTCGGCCCGAGAAACATGAAGCCGATATTACAATGTCAATTGGTCATGTGTAATATGATGTTTTTGTATGTGTAATATGGTGATGAGCTTGTTATTCCTAAACCAAGTAATAAAATTTCTGGTTTGTCTGTTATGTTCTGTATAACGCAAACGACCTCACGGCATAATATATGAACAACCGTGAAAACCCATTTTCAATGAGTCGCAAAACTGCCACGGGTATTTGATTATTATTTTAACATAAAAAAAAAGAATATGAAATTCCAAACGATACTTTCAAAAAATGTAAGTGTTCTTCATTATTTCATAATAATTTTCTAACATTGTTTTTGCTGTAAAATTTGCTTATTACATTAAGGTTATTATGAAGACTTATTTGTCATTGCAACAACATCCTGACACACACAAATATCATTGCTTCCTTCCAAAGCTCATTTAAACATTGAATATTTTATATCTAGTTACATTGTAAAATATACTATAACAAACTTTTTGCAGAAAATTATCAGTTGGTGCACAGTGCTTCAAAGTAAGGATTAAGACTTAGTTTATAATATTGATGTTTCTGGGTATCCATCATGTAATAACGCATAAAATTCATCAGATGATATTGTGTGCCAAGAGAAAAAACATACAAAAAGAACAAATGTGTACATGCCATATTTAATTGAAAACGCAACAATATAGTTGTATATGTTTACTGATAAACACAGCAATTTAAGATTGGTTATCAAAATATATTCTTCCTCAGATGAATATTTGTATAAAAATATCAGATATACGATTATCTCATATAATGTCATATAAAAAAGTTGAATGATTGATTCATTCAATTATTGACAAGTACTCCACTGAATGTGTTCATACTATGTGTGCCTTGTCGTAGCCGGCGGTTAGAACTTGACGATGTTGATTTGACCCAAACTTTTTCTCCCGGTTTTACTCTTACTATTGCTCCAACAGTACTACAGGTGTAATAATCCTCATCATAGTTTGAACTTGCTGCAATAACGTTATCTTCCGAACACCAGACCAAATAAAAGCATATTTTGTATCATAAGTAACAAGTATGAACAATAAACTGGTACAGTCCTCCATCGGGCGCAGTAAAAATCCCAGTAGAAGTATCGTAACCTGTTCCCTCGTTTATCACACTTTTCGTAAATATAACAATCTCATTTGTAGTATCAAGAACCAAATCTTTCACGTGATGTGCATGGAAAGCGATCGGGGGTCGTTCGAGGTTTCCTGAGTATAGAAAATAGTAAAGTAAGTACATGTTTCTTACAATTGTTTCGTTATGATTTAATATTTGTTTGTATATCTGGTTATTAAGAATTTTAATGCTTATCAATCGTCGATGGTTAAATATAAAGAATAGCAAGACTTCCTGATTTTAATTTGGAATTCAATAAGCGTGTGGGAAATATCTTAAGAATATCTGTGTAAAACATGATATTTTTAGAGCTATAATACAAACACTTTTGCCAATAAAAGATGATCTGAATTCAAAACTAGAATATATACCCGTAATTGAATCGGTTTAAGGATGATTTGCAGTACTAGTTGATAGTAACAGAAACATGCTAGTTGAACAAGTTCTTAATATTTTAAACTGATTATTGATGTATTATTAGAACGTGAATGCACTTTAAAACAACCAATTGAATATCATAATTATAATCAATTCTTACACGACCCTCATTTTTCCCTATTTAACATAGAAGAACCGAAAGTGTGTGTAATTATGCAACAGAAGCACAGTTTGACGTTCTGTATTTAGACATGTGACGTAATCATTATACACGTGACATAACCACCAAAAATCCAACGCGCTGAAAATAAGTACGGAAACAAATGAGGCGCAATGTTGCCTAATATCAGGTACGGCAGCATTTATTTGATGATGTCGTGTTAGAATCGAAATAATATATCCCAAACAGTGATTTTATCGCTTGATAACATCACTGTTTGTCGTTCGGATGCGCATCATTATATCACTCGGGCAACGCCCTCGTGATATAATTCCTCACATCCGAACTTCAAACAGTGATGTTATTGAGCGATAAAATCACTGTTTGGGATTTATTTTGTTAAATAAAATTTATGAATCACAGTTTTGGAAAATTATCATCACTTGTAAGAGAAATGGGAAAACTACCCTGAAGTTGAGTAAGTTCTTCTTTTTTAGCTTCCATGTCACTCGTGAGGTTGGTTTTTGTCTCATCAAATAAGTTCTTGAAGGATCCTGTAAAAGTAATATCAAAGTACAATTACTAACGGTTATCAAATTTCAATAAGTATTATATGTGTTATTATGTGTACATATGAACTGTTTGCAGAAAGTCTTGCTGACGCACCAACTAGATTGATAATACGAAACTTAAATCGAAATATATTTTTACATAGACACTTGTGTTACTTTTGAGGAAGCAAAACAACATGCATTCTAACATTGTTTTTATTTTCCTTGCTCTCCTTCTATAAAAAAATTTCATTTTTTTGTCATGAATTTTTATTGGCTAACGTGGTAGCCATTTTCTGACGTAGAATATAATATAAAGGGAATAAAATATTCATATTAAAGGATTATATATGTAAAATAAAGATGAGGAAATGTATTCAAAATGAGAAGTTATACAAGTAATTAGATATGTTTAACGATGATAGGAAGGACTAGTCTATAGTAACAGCAACAGGTTAGTCAAATATAACATATTTAAACTGATAATTGATAAAATATTGTACGTGAATAAACTTCAAAAGATCCAACTAAATCATAAAACCAACTGAATCATAAAATGAAAACAAAATTTGGGAAACAATCATCACATAGAAGAGAAATGCGAAACAATACCTTGTAGTTGAGTAAGTTCTTCTCTTTTAGCTTCCATGTCACTCGTGAGGTTTGTTCTTGTCTCCTCAAACAATTTCTTGAAGGAGTCTGTAAAAGTATCAAAGTTAAATTATTAACAGTAACCAAAGTTCAATAAGTATTTTTTATGTTAGTATGTTTGCATATGAACTGTCAGCAGAAAGTAATAAATATTTTGATTTTCCTCGGTCACATGCTATAATAAAATTTCAATGTTCTTTTGGCTGATAAAATAGCCATTTCATAACGTTATTCAATATAGAATAAATGTAATAAAAATCAGGGAATATGTTCCCTATTAAGAAAAATCAATGTGACGAGTTTCCTTCATGGAAATTTGTTTGTTTTGGTATATTCGTATTAACATAAATGTTCACTGTTATTCATGTTTTGTATAGACCAGAAGTATACAAACAAACAAACATGAACATCGCAAACATAATTGAAAATACAGCAGTGTTCTTTGGTGCAACAAATAGAAAGAACTAAAGATAAACACACGTCAGAAAAGGGCAGAACGGCAACAATTAACTGATGTATTTTTTTTATAAATTTTATACATGTTTATGCTCGTACAAGCAAATTGTTTAGCAAGATCTTGTTAATTATCAATCAATATTATAAAAAAAAAATAATGTCCATATAAAAATTACTTTTTTAATGTTGTTATATTTATACATGATTTCGTTTTCACTTGCTTTTACTTTTTATTGATTTATGTTTATAATATTGTTTTTATATGTTTCGTTTCGAAATGAGACGGGTTAAGAAAACTTATAATAGAACATAAGTTTGCGGCAATAACATTTATGCCATATTCTACTGTCTATAAACATACACATTTTAGGTAAATTTAAAGTAACCGATGTATAAAATTAATTGTCTTTAACAGCTAATGTTTCTTTAAATTTCATATGTTCATATGTTCCACGCATTCATCATATAACAAATTTTCTCATTTCAGTTTGCATAAAGCAATACGAACTATTAAGTTATATTGATTCAGCCTTCAAACAACAAACATTTGTAAATTATATGCTAAATATATGTCATTTTCGCATTACATCAGAAATATTTCAATATACATGTATCAATTTTCTAATAATGTAGATCTGGTGTTTATATTTTACCTTCTCTCCTTTTTATCTCGTCACTTTTCTTTAACATGTCGTCTGTTATGTTCTCCTTCATGTCTGAAAACATGCCCGTAAAATCTGAAACTGCTCGTTTAATGTCGCCCAATGTACTGATAACTTTATCCTCGGTATTCTTAATTTCATTCACCATTGTTTCTACCTTAATTTCAGTTCTTATCATTTTCTCTAAAAGCTGTTCTTCGTATGCAAATTTAGAACACACGGGCTCTCTTGCCTCAGAGAAATTATAACTATATATTCCAACGAAAATAATAAACACAAATAACAGTGAGAACCTCATTTTCATTAGTAAAGTTGCAACAAACTCTGAGAAGCTTTCAGGATTGAACCATGTGAGAGAAACTGCTGTATTTATTCAAAGAAAATATGTCAGTTTGAAAATGAGGCCCGTATATCAAAAGGCATTCTGAAGAGGAACAGAATATCACTACTCGAGTCAAACAGTACACGGACTTTTATGCATTAAAAGAAAAAAAAAACAGGCATAATAAATTTTCCTTATTGTGTAGGCGTAATTTGTTTAAAACAATGCTGAGTTGATACTGCGATCTTTTTTGTATTATATTGCAACCGTTCATGTTTTGACTATAATAGACCATTTCTCTTATTTTATTTATTGTACATGATTATACAATAAGTATGACATGCGACCATTGTTACACATTAGTAGCTACTGAAAACTTGTGGTTGAGTCTTTACGCCCATTTGCTGAAGTATCTGATTTGTTCCCGTTGTTGTTCGTATAAATTTCTTGACAAAATATATAGCTATCATGAAACGATCTTTTTCATCTGTTTAGCAACCCTACCAGACATGGCCTTAGGAGCATATTTATGACACGAAAAAAAACCTACTTGGCTTGATCATATTATGTTTTTCCAACCAGTTTGCTCGATCATTAAGATATATCAATTGTATTATATATATATGTATTGTATATATGGTATTGATCAAGCCCTGTTTATTTGGCCAAACATCATTCGTCAATTATATTTTTGACAAAACAATTTTATTTTAAAGCATTTCACGTTTGAATTATTTGAACCTATTGGTACAATACAATTTTGAACAATTAATATTGCTAGATTCTTAAAGGTTTTGTAGCCATATAAAACTTAAATACCTTTTGGCAATAAGCTTTGCATTATTGCAAATTCCTCAGTCCGGACCTTATGTTTAAAAGAAACAGTGAACATATGTCTGTTAAATGTTATCTACGCTAATTATCAGTATTTTGTTAGTTCAGTAAGATAATAAGGCTTATATTTTCAAGTTAATATCTGCATCTTAAACGCGATAATAAATAATTATGAATGATTAATTGGTGTTAAGTTGTGTTTAAAGATTTTGCTACAAGGAAAATCAATGCATTAAACAGATGGCAAGGTTATTAGATTTCAATTTCTTAATCATTGTATAGAATTTTAGCGTTAAGATTATGAACAGCTGTAAAAATAGCCAGTTCAAAGAAGTTCGAGCGTCAATTTCGTGATATGCGAACTTCTATACGTAGTCGGATTAGTACGTTCATATTTATTTAACCTTTTATTTTCGGTTTAAAGGTTTGTATATTATGTGTATAAATAAAAGAGTAATACGTTTGAGCGCATCAAAATATGAGTCATTTACAATTTTTCTGTTTTTGCTACACGTGCGTGTTTTTGTTTCTTTTGCATTAAATGTCGTTACCAAGGCAACATGCCGGAAACCTTATAACGTTCAATTAGGATACACAAGTTCAAATTTGCCCTACTTGGTCGAATTACTGTGCATTTGCATTTAAACATCTTATTATCAATTTATGATGTGTTTAGTGTCAAGCATAAATACATTATGGACATTTGATAAACTTGTTTGACTGCATTGTTCAAGCACTTGTGTGTCACCATGTGAATATTTTCTGCTACAGGGTGGGAATCGCATTTCGCAACCGGAAAACGTGGTTTCGGGAAGAAATGATATATTTGAATCATAGCTTGAAGCTACAGGTTTAATTGTTCATTAACACTGTCGTGTCCTTACTAAACATCTAAAAATACATAGTAGTCTTTTGTGTAAGATATTCTATTTCCGTAAAATGAAGACGTATACGCAATCTCAAATCAAACATCAAATGATGTAATAATATGTAGTCATAATGGACTGTATTAACAAAAGCTTTAATATGTTGTTACTAAAATAAATTGTTAAAATGCTTTTAGGGAGAGAGTTTTATTTTAGCTGTAAGCTTTCTACTAAATCCTGGATACAATTTATGTATTGTAATTTTGTTTGTCAATGTTGAAAAAGAAATATTAAAAATTGTTTCAGCTAAATCAAAAGACCGCTTGTTACACTAACACGCTATGAAATAAGTTAACCGATTAAAAAGAGGGAATTTTTACTGAAGGCCATAAAATACACCCGTCGCTACAGATCAGAGCGGTGTTTAATAAAAAATATTTCATATCAGGATATATTGTGCTCATTAGAAGGATCACAACCCTAACATTTCCGGATTAAGTTTTTAAAATTAAGAATAGTACAATGATGGAGTTATTGTCTGAATATATAACTTTGTTGGGGAATGCGTTTATTGAACGCCACCATTTCTTGTTCATCTTGTAAATGAAACCTTATCCTCATTCGTAAAGTTGCGATTTTAGCAATACCAAGTACTAAATACTAAACATTGATACAAACGTGTTTCGTATATTTCTTCCATTGAAAAATAGGAAAGCTATTGAAGATAAAGATGAAGATATTGGCTAAAAAATTCAATCGTATTATACAATAATAACGAAAAAAAGAAATTTCAAACTTGCATTGGTTAACACTTTTTATGCCACCGCAGCATCTGCGATGCGGTGGCATATAGCGATTCACCTGTGTGTGTGTGCGTGTGTGTGTGTGTTTGTTTGTTTGTTTGTGTGTGTGTGTGTTATATAGATTATATAGTGAACTTCAAAAATCTTCTTGTGAAAAACCACTGGTCCAATTTCAACCAAACTTGGCAGGATTGATCCTTGTGTGAAGGGCTTCCAAAGTTGTTCAAAGAACTTCATTCCATGCAGAAATCTGGTTGCCATGGCAACCAAAAGGAATTATAAGAATAAATTTAAAAATCTTCTTGTAAAGACCCAAAAGGCCTAGAGCTTAGATATTTTTGCACAAAGCATTGTCTGGTAGACATCTACCAAGATTGTTCAAATTATAGCCCTGGGGTCAAAATCGGCCCCGCCCTGGGGTCATTGATTTTCACTATATGACATATAGTAAAAACGTAAAATAACCCTCTTGTAAAGACCCAAAAGGCCTAGAGCTTGATATTTTGCATAAGGCATTGTCTGGTAGACCCTTACCAAGATTGTTCAAATGATAGCCCTGGGGTCAAAATCAGCCCCGCCCCGGGGGTCATTGGTTTCACTATATGTACATATAGTAAAAACTTAAAATACCTTCTTGTAAAGACCCAAAGGCCTAGAGTTAGATATTTTGCATAAGGCATTGTCTGGTAGACTTCTACCCAGATTGTTCAAATTATAGCCCTGGGGTCAAAATCGGCCCTGCCCCCGGGGTCATTGGTTTTCCTTAGATGTATAAAGTAAAACTTATAGTAAAAACAATTGACAAATGATAGAGGGTTAGATATATTTGCATGAAACATTGTGTAGTGAACCTCTTGCAAGATTGTTCAAATTATAGCCCTGGGGTCAAAATCGGCCTCACCCCGGGGGTCATTGATTTTCAATATATACATATAGTAAAAAATCTTATTGTCTGAAGGTACAAGGCTTAGAGCTCTAATATTTGTTAAATGATATAATCTATAGGTACTCTACCAAAGTTGTTCAGATTTTGCCTCTAGTGTCAAAATTAGCCCCGCCCCGGGGGCCATAGGTTTTCCTTATATGTATATAGTAAAATTTAAAAATCATCTTCTCTAATATTATTAAGGCTGGAGTTAAGATATTTTGCATGAAACATTGTGTAGTGAACCTCTAGCAAGATTGTACAAATTATAGCCCTGCGGTCAAAAATTGGCTCCACCCCTAGGGGTCATTGATTTTCACTATTACATTATAGTAATAAAAATGTCTTGTCTGAAGGTACTTTAAGGCTTAAGAGATTTTATATTGGGTATGTAATATCATGGGTCCTCTACTAAAGTTGTTTTAAGTATGCCCCTAGAGTTAAAATTGCCCTGCCCCAGAGGCGATAGTTTCCTTATAATGTATAAAGTTAAAATGTTGGGTCGTCCGTGGCCGAGTGGTTAAGGTCGTTGACTTCAAACCACTTGCCCCTCACCGCTGTGGGTTCGAATCCCGACAGGGACTTTGGATTCTTTTCATGTGAGGAAGCTATCCAGCTAGCTTACGGGACGTTGGTGGTTCTACTCAGGTGCCCGTTCGTGCCTGAAATAATGCACGGAGGGCACCTGAGGTCTTCCTCCACCAGTAAAGCTGGAACATCGCGATATGACCTATACTGTGTCGATGTGACGTAAAAACCCAAAACAAACAAAAAAAATAAAGTTAAAACTTGAAAAAATTTCTTCTCTGAATTGACAAAGGCTAGAGGTTAAATATATGGCATGAGACTTTGCGAAGTGAACTTCTACCAAGATTGTTCAAATTATAGCCCTTGGGTCAAAATTGGTTCCGACCCGGGGGTCATTGATTTTCATTATGTACATATAGTAAAAAAAAAAAGTATTTTTGTTTGAAGGTACAAGCATAGAGCTTTGATGTTTGCTATATAATATCATCTATAGGTCCTCTACCAAAGTTGTTCAAATTTTTCCCTTGGTGTCAAAAAATTGGCCCTGCCCAGGGGCAGTGATTCTCATTATGAACACATAGTAAAAACAGAAAAATAAAACAAATGTGTTTCTGAATGGGAGAAAGCTACAGCTTAGATATTTGACTTGAAATGTGTTTTGTGGACCTGTATCAAGATTGTTTGAATAAAACCCTTAGGTCAAAATTTTGCCTTGCCCAAGGGAAAGTGACCTACTTTCTTATCCTTTGATGTACAGCAATGAAAATTTTGACCATGTGCACAGTTTAAGTTGTAAAATTGAACTTTGATATCAGGTGATCTAGATTTTGATGATGTGACTTACTCTCTTGTCCTTTGATGTACAGCTAT